GGCCTCGGCGGCTGAGGGGAGGGCACGGCACCCCGCCCCGCCGGCCCCGGCGTGTCTTCTCCTGAGGGGCTGCCGTGCCGTCGTCGATGGAAAGGGCTGTTGGGTGGAGGTTCGGCAGCTGCCTGTTAGAAAGAAAAGGGCTTTCCGCGTTCAACTCCCCACCGGCTCTAGGTGCCGCTGCGCGGGGCCGAGCTGTCACCCGTGGCGGGGCTGAGGGAAGCACAGGCTGGGGGTGGAGTGAGTCCTCGCCATGGAAATGCGGCTGGAAGTTCGGTTTCAGAGTTTGTTTAGATGCATTCGTCCGTATGAAGGCGCTTTTTGAACCTAGAAATGATACTTTCCAGGTACGCATGAAGTGAAGCAAGTACCTCGTTTATGGGTGATTTTTGGTAGCGTTCACTATGTCAGCTAGCTATCTAAAATAAAAACGGTCTGTTCTGCAAGCACTGTCAAAAGGCAGGCAGGGAGAACCTGGGAGAGCAGGATGAAACACACGTTTTCTTTAAATCCGTAGGATAGCGGGTAACACAAAAAGAAAGGGGTTAAGAGGCATTTAAAAAGGCAGGGAACCCACGAGCTCAGCGCTCTGGACATACCCACCCCTGCTGTCAGGCTGCCACCATGAAGGGCAATCGCTAGTTGGTCAGAGCACTTCAATCTTGTTATTACAGAGACACCAAGGAAGACACTGCAGCTAGCGGTGACTATCAAACGGAGGAAACTCTGGCAGAGGTTAACAGGTAAGCGAGACCGAGGGAAACAGCAACTTAACGTTAAGTGATGAAATATTTAAATAGTATCATGAAGAGGGGAAGCCATAGTCTGCTGGGATAGTAACTAGGTGGCCAGCTAGTCAGCTGATAATCAGTAGGCAAGTAAGTTCAAAGTGAAAAGTGAATGGATTTGTTGGGCATGGAAGAGCTGCAAATGAAATCCTTCCCTGAATATGGTTTTTCTGAGGTGTCTGGAATGAATAGGCGTTATCATCTAAAACATATCTGTATTAGATCCCCATATTGACCTTGCAAGAAACTGATCAGAACAGCCTTAAAATGAAGTGACATTCGAAACAGAATTATTTTAAACCTAGGATAAAAAACATATGGTCATTACACAGTGCAGTAGGCCAGCTGCTAAAAGAGTGAATCGATGGCGTGATTGCTTATTTTGTCGTAATAAAATACTTTTTCTCAAAAGCTAAGACTTTCTGTTGGTTCCAGTTTTTGCTCTGAGAGGAAGTACGGTTTGCTTCAAGGTTCATGCTGCTGTGATTAAAACAAATAGTGTAGTCCTAAAATCATGTGCTGAAGTTCTGAAAGGGTCTGAATAATTTAGTTATTGATGTAGAGAACTTTATTCTGGGTCTTGATCACTAGTGATTGTGTTATACATTGGTCTTCTGAATAAAATATTTTCTGAGTAAGAGTGGTGTATTTCAAAGCCTATGGTAATGGAAGCATTTTTCATCCGAAGCCCAGCTTTTAGAAGCTAGATAGCTGTGTATATCAGCTGTTTTGCTTCAAACCTTATGTACTATCATGCTTTTATTCATCTATCCCCAAACGGTCTCAGCCCCCCTTTTTTTTCTTCCCGCTTGGCTTTTCACCCATTTTGCTTCCTCTGAGGTTTTTGGAGAGCTGCTCATTTTTGTGATATATAAATATAAGAGCTTGAAAGCCCTGTTGCGTGAGGCCAGGCAAGAATAGTTGAGCTTATGATTAATATTTACACATTTCTCTTCCAGCTGTTTTACTGTTAAAACCAAATGGGAGAAAAAAATCCAAATGCTTCTTGGTTTACCAAATTCATTTCACTGTATTTCAGTGTAGATGGCTTGAAGATCTGTTGACGGTATGACCGGGCAGATATGCTTATCAACAACAGACTTAATTGCATCTTCTTTATTTCTCCCAAGATTCATCTGGGAGGTATTGAGAGGTGGTGGTGATCCCCAGTACCTCTGTTAAAACTCTAAGCTTCCTTCAGTGAACCCGGCACACGGTATTTCAGAGTTTTGGATCACTTCTTTATCCCCAGTTCCATATTGCAGTTAACACTGGTTTCTGCCCTGATGTACCCCACCCCCCCACCCCCCCAAAAAAACCCCATTGCATTTTGGAATTTTAATTTTTCTCTCTCTTTAGGGAAATACATTTCTCTTCTACAATGTGTCACTACTTTTCTTTACATTTCTTATATATGCTGTAATGTAATCTAATGGTAAGAGCTGCATATTTTCAATACTTCTGAATTTCTTTTGTGATACAAAGCTCCTAATATGTCCCTTTGTCTTTTAACACATTATTTTTCTGTGGCCAATTCATTAGTTTTGAACAGTTTAGTCTTTTAAGTCCATGAAGTAGTGTCTTTCTTAACCTTTGCATTTCTTCTACTAGAATGTTCTTTGTCTTCACCTCTTTTTCTTCTCATGTCATCAAGATGTTCCTCTCCTTCCCCCCACCAATAATTCACTTGCGTGAAGGTTTAGTTATCTGACAATGTGTGTTTGCTGCTTTTCCCTTCACATTCTCCGATTATCTCATCTTTGTTTCTCTGTTACAAGTCCTAAGCTCCACAACACTCGTCTTCATCTTCTTCACTTAGTTTAGGTCGGTGTCACTCAGCTTCTCTGCCAGGTCAATCCAATATCCCCCAACCAAGGCACCCAGCGAATGTGTGCTTATCTGTCACGTAACTAATCTGCGGTCACCACCTGACCGTAGCCCAGCCAAGTGTGATGGGGCCATATGTACATAAGTCCTTTTGTCATGTTACTGAACGGGCATGCTCCATGCGGTGATGATGCCTATAGTTTGTGTTTAGGGCACGTCCAGCTACATGACAGGAGGAAGGCTGCGGGGCTCTCGCGAGGGAGAACAGCAGGGAGACTGCCGTGGGTTAGCGAATGACTCGTGTGGCTGACAGCCTGCTTCCTGACCAACTCTGAGGGACTCTCAGGAACGAAGATGACAGGCTGAGTTATATGTTCTGGCACACCATGAGCTGGCTATCCTTGCTTTAATTATCTCATGCTAAAACCTTAATTTTCATAAGGAATGTGAAATCCCAGTTGTATTTAATTTAGGTCTCTTACAGTTCTGTAGTCATTGCTCTGTTTCTCAATTACAGCTTGATGTTATGACAGAATTTTTTTAATTCTCTTTCCGTGGAAGGAAATGTCCCCTATTTAGCTTGGCTTTTCTGCAACATTTAATGATTGCTTCCCCATGGCAATTGTCAGTGAACCTGGGACAATCCAAATCACTGGTACGCCTTCACGTTTTTTAAGGCAACCCAGGTCACATTCCCGTAGTCATTCAGCAGACTAGAAGGCATAATCCATTTGTAGAGCTCATTCCCAATTTTATTTTTTTTTTACCCTCAGGATGGTGTGGACAGGTCTCTCCTTCCAGCATAGCAAAATAGTTTATAAAATGAAAGTTCTGTTTGCTACAAAAGCCCTCATATCACATTAACAAATTGTCATATTAAGCCTCAGTAAAACCAGTTTTTCCTGTGCAGAGAAAGGAAGTCTTACCCTGGCCAACAGAGCCTTAGTGCTTTGCCTTTTCTGGTAGATCTCAAGCTCTTTTGAGTCATTTCTTCCCACA